CAATCATAGACTCAGATAACACTTGAGTCTGTGCTTTTTTGCTTATTGCTCACTATGATTATTATTATTTGTATTATTATCATTTCTCAATAATAATAATACTATTATTATTATTAATAATAATAATAATAATAATAATGAAAATATTATTATTAATAATAATAATAATAAGAATATTATTATTATTATTATTATTATTATTGTTATTGCTATTACTTGCAGCCCCGTCTATCGAGTATACAATTCAACATTTGTATTTCTTACAGCCGTAATACTAACGCTTCATATCAAACATAAATTTATGAATTTATTCATATTTTCTTTTTTTTTTGTTTTGCTTCCCTTTTTCATCGATCAGGGAGTGAAGAAATACAATAAATTTTAAGATGAGTGCCTCAGCTGAAACTTGAATTTTGTTCGTCTGGGTTTCTCCCNAAGAAATACAATAAATTTTAAGATGAGTGCCTCAGCTGAAACTTGAATTTTGTTCGTCTGGGTTTCTCCCCCCGACTTGAATCTCCTTTACTGGATCAAGCAGTTTACTTATTTTAATAAAAATAAATTTTAATATTAATTAATATTTTAAATGAAATTTAAATTTATGTGTTTATGAAGAAACACGAAACACGCCGCCGACGCTGCTTCAACTCAACTCGTAGGAGAGCAGCACCCGATCTGGCGCTCTTTCTGCCCGAAAAGAAAAAAACGTTCAAAGAAAAAGTAAAATAATATAAATACAAATTCAAATTCAATTTAATTTCATGAAATATATTTCTTTTATCCGCAGGATCGCGAGGCCTCGCCGTACACGTTTCACTGCTACGCTCGAAGCCCCAGCTGCTGCTGCGTCAACCTCGATGCTCTCAACCCCCTTCTTCCTTGGCTTAGTTTATTTAAGCGGTTTTAGTTAATTTATTTGTTTCTTTTCTTCTTCTTTGATATTATTCGGTGAAAAAAGTACCAGAGGTGCTATCGGGGGGCCCCGAGTTCAGTGGCAGCAGTATGGGGGGCCCCCCATCCGTGGTGTGCATATAACTCTCTCTTCATACATAAACTTCCTCGATTTGTCTTTTTTTTGTTCTACTTCTCTTTAATTTTATTTCTTTGCTTCATCTTTCCGGCCCCTCTCCCGACTTCTTTCAACTCTTTAGCACCCGATGCCTTCTCTCACGAGAGGCCCGGGGCCCCCTGCCACCTCCTCGATATATGTATGGGTGCATCTGCTCCTTCATTTCTAGCGAGCACTGTTTGTTTGTCTCGTATACGCGTTTCCGCTGCCTGGGATGGTTCCTGGGGGCCCCCGGGGGCCCCCGGTGACCTCTGGGGGCCCCCTGTGCCCCCTGGGGCCCCCTGGGGGCCCCTTGCCTCGGCAGCGTGTTGGGTTTGGATTGTGTGGTGTTTGTTTTTTTTCTACACGGAGGAAAACAGCGAAAGCAATAGCTCATTGGCATCTGCAGCAGGATGCTCGTCGCCGTGCGTTGCAGTATCAGCAGCAAGTTGAGAAGGGTTTGGTTGTGACAGGTAGAGGAGAGAGGGGGGCCCCCCCCCTTGCTGCTGTACCCAAGTACTGCTCCTCACCACGCGTTCTATGGGGGGCCCCCGCTCCCCCCGCACTGTTTCAGAGAGTGCATGTGGGCCTTGCTTTCCCCCGCCGCAGAGAGGTACAGCAGCAGCTGGGGGGCCCCTTCATCCCGAGGCCCCTGGGTCGTATTGGGGCCCTAAAGTCAACAGAGTTAATATCAGCTGTATGGAGAGCAGCAACAGACAGCAGCAGCAGCATCCCTGGTTCTGTATGGCCGCAGCTGCATGCAGCTTGCTGCAGAAGGGCCCCACATCTATCAGCAGCAGAAGCTGCTCTGCTGCTGCACTGCTACGCTATAGCGCAGCAGCGGGTGCTGCCTGTGCTGCGCTGCGGTGTACGTACACTGCTAACAAAGTGGGAGGACGCGAGACTGCTCGATGCTGCGAGGGCCCTTCATTCTTTATTTGTTGTCTTCAGCATACACGACACGCGGCTCCTCTCCAGGTGTATACGCAGCTTCGGTGCGCTTCTCCGCAGCAGCAGCAGCTGCAGCAGCAGCAGCAGCAGCAGCAGCAGGAGGTCCAGCAGCAGCAGAGCAACTGGCCCCTTTCCCCCAGCACAAGCCACGCAGCACTGCATGACCCTCGTGCTGCTGCTGCGGGCCTTTGCTGCAGCACGGCTGCCGTACACTCCGCTGCTGACAGCAGCAGCAGAAGCAGCGAGGCAGCAGCTGGTGCTGTCGGTACCTAGGGGGTTCAAGGGGCCCCCTGGGGGCCCCCACCACAGCAGCAACAGCAAAAAGCAGCAGAAAATATTCTCATTGCCAGCAATACAAGACCCTAGGGGGGCCCCCGTGAGGGGCCTCGACGGCGTAGAGAGAAGGGGGCCCCCCTCTGTACCCCCTTCTCTCTTTGTTTCTATGCTGGAGTGTCTAGGCAGCTTTGGGGTGCGTCACGAGCCGCTTATAAACGCATTTGAAGCCTTTCTTCTCTCTTCTGCTGCAGGGGGCAACACCAGCAGCAGCAGCAGCAGCACTGCTGCTGCTGCTGCTGCTGCTGCTGCTGCTGCTGCGGTGAGGGGGGCCCCCTACCGCTATGCCGTCCGCAGGGCCCCCGAAGCTGCATGCGGCTCGTCCCCTCGCAGCGGCTGGCTGTCTGCAACTAGCCAGACCCCAGCAGCTAGCTACGCCCCCGCAGCTAGCTGCAGCTCAGCAGCTAGCTACCTGCTGCCAGCTAGCCACAGCGCAGCTAGCCAAGAGCCAGGGAAAGCATGGAGCCTGCAGCAACTGAGTCGGTCTCTCGTCAGCCTGGGGCGGGTAGGGGTGCAGCGGCAGAATATACTGCTGCTGTGGGTAGCAGCAGTGAGGGGGGCCCCCACCCCCCTCTCTGCTGCAGAGGTGGTGGGGGCCCTAGGGGCCTCGGGGGCCTCTGGCTTCTTCTCTCGTCCGCTGCTGCTGCAGCTGCTGCTGCCGTTTGCAAGGAGAGCAGCAGATACCGCTGCGCCCCTCTCTCCTGCTGCTCTTCTTGCTGCTGCTGCTGCTGCTGCACGCCTCCCCCTCGCTTGCCCCCCCCTATGGCAGGCAATAGGGGGGGCCCTTGGACGCCTGGGGGGCCCCCAGGGGGCCCCACCCCAGCTGCTCTACGCACACCGGGACAGCAGCAACACACGCAGCAGCGCATGCAGCAGCAGCGCATGCAGCAACACCCCCATAGAGAAGCATTCAGCAGCAGCAGCAGCAGCAGCAGAAGCAGAAGCAGCAGGAGGCCCACCTGCTGCTGCTGCAGGTGCAGCAGCAACAGTTGAAGCTGCGGGCAGGGGGGCCCCCGCCTCTGGTGGGGGCCCCTTAACTCCCTTGCTGTCTGTGGGGCTGCTGCAGTGCGTTGCTGCTGCTGCTCCTGTTCTGTCTCCGTGCCTGTTGGCTGCTGCTATGCCGCAGCTGCTGCTGCTGCAGCAGCAGCAGCTGCCCCTCGCAACCACACTGAAGGCGCTCGCAGCAGCACAGCTCCTCCGGTATAGATGCAGACAAAGCAACAACAGCAGCAGCAGCAGCAGCAGCAGCAGCAGCAGCAGCAACAGCAGCAGCTTTGATGTCGGAGCTGCAGCAGCAGTACTGGAGACGCATTTGTGGCGGCTCTGCCGTCTGCATGCGGATGCGGTGGTGGCTCGGCAGCAGCGACAGCTAATGCAGCAGCAGCAGCAGCAGCAGCAGCAAGAGCAGCAGCAGGAGCAGCAGAAGAGCAGAGAAGCCTCGTGGCTGCTGCTGGTGGAAGGGCCCCTTGCAGGGGACTGGCAGCTGTTGGAGTTGTGTGTCTTAGGCCTGCTGGAGCAGCAGCTGCAGCAGCAACAGCAGCAGCTGCAGCAGCAGCAGCAGCAGCAGCAGCAGCTCCAGGTCCACCACGGGAGGCCCCCTATCGCGTCTGCTGCTGCATGCAGGGGGCCCCCTGAGCTGCTGCAGCACGCACGGAGACTGGTAGCAGCAAGGAGGGGCCCCTGTCCCCTCGTGTTTGCTGCTGTTGAGGAGGCCGTTGCTCTGCTGCAGTTTGAGTTGATCTCTTTCTCTGCTGCTCCTCCTCTTGCTGCTGCTGCAGCAATGCGGCTGCTGCCGGAGCTGCAGCTGCTGCAGCAGCAGCAACTGCAGCAGCAACAGCAGCAGCAACAGCAGCAGCTGCGGCTGAAGCGGGAAACCAATACCACAAACTATGGCAGCACAACCTGCGGCACAAGCAGCAGAAACAACAGCAGCAACAGCAGCAGTAGCAACAGCAGCAGCAGCAACAGCAGCAGCAACAGCAGCAGCAGCAGCAGCAACAGCAGCAGCAGCAGCAGCAGCAGCAGCAACAACAGCAACCCATACAACCTGAATCCTCATGGGTCTCTTCCTCCACAGCAGCAGCACCAGCAGCAACATAAGTTGCAGCAGCATCACGAGCCACAGCAGCAACAGCAGCAACAGCAGCAGCAGCAGCAGCAGCAAGGGGCCCCCACACCCCTGTATTTACCTTCTGTCTCCTCCTTGGAGACAATACTCAGCTGCTTCAGCAGCAGACTCGTCACCGCATCGACCCCAACACTGCTGCATGCAGCAAACATCCTCTTGGGGGCCCTCTCTCACCCCTACCTTCTCAGGGGCCTCCTCAACCAGGCCTGGGGGGGCCCCCCTGGGGGCCCCCTTGGGGGCCCCACCCCTGGGGGACCCCCTGGGAGCCCCCCTCCAGCAGCAGCAGCAGCTGCTGCTGAGCCTTCGAGCTGCAGCGAGAATAGCAACGGGGGCCCCCTGGGGCCCCCTAGCGCATGCGGGGGGCCCCGTGAAGGCCCAAGCGGCGGGGATTGGGGGGCCCCCCAGGAGGAGCAGGGGGGGCCCCCCGAGGGGGAGACGGGGGGGGCCCCCCAGGTGGAGGGGGAGGGGCCCCCTGATGAGTTTGAGTCTGTTGTTTATTTAGTGAGAGAGATTTGTATGTTGGTAGTGCATGCAATAGAAGAGAGAATAAATACAATGCAGGCAAACGAGCTGGCGTTTCTTGCTGCAGATACAATAAAAATAATAAATAAAATAAATAAAATAAATAAAATAAATAAAATGTATACACAAACTGTACAAATAGATGAAACACAAAACATACACAAACACATTGGGGGGGGCCCCCATGAGGGGCCCCTAGAAGGGTACGGGTGGGCTGAAGAGGAGGAGGAGGAGGGAGAAGAGAGTGCTGCTGCTGCTGCTGCTGCAGCAGCAGCAGCAGAGTTGCTGCGGCTTCGTCTAGGTTTAGAAGCACTACTTGCTGCTGCAGCAGACCGGTGGGGGGCTGCTGCTGCTGCAGTATTCTGCTGCGGGCCCTCGAGCTCTCTCAATCTGTGCATGCAGCTGCAGCTGCTAGACAGCACAGCTGCTGCTGCTGCTGCTGCTGCAGCAGCAGCAGCAACAGCACGAACAGCAGCAGCAGCAACAGCAGCAGCAGAAGAGGAGACAGAACGGCATTCAATGCACACGATGAGGGGCGTGGGGTGTATAGGCAGCTGCAGCACAGCAGCAAACAAACCGAAGAAGAGAGAGAAAGAAGAGAGCGACAGTCACCATATAAAGAAAGAATATAAAATAAATAAAACAGAAAATAAAGAAAAAGAAACAACAAACAAACAAACAACAACAGAAGAAAAAATAAATAAAAAAGAAAAAGAAAAAGAAAAAGAAGAAGCAGTAAGAACAGAAGCTCTCATAGAATGTCTGTGCCCCGCCGTATACAGCCCCGAGGCCCTTCGCTGGCTGCGCGGGCAACACGCGGTTGCTGCTGCTGCTGCTGCTGCTGCTGCTGCTAGCAGCAGCAGCAGCAGCAACAGCAGCTGCAGCAACAGCAGCAGCAGCAGCAGCAGCAGAAGGCCTGAAGTGGCTTTGAATGAGATGGTGGGGGTTAAGGAGAACAGCAGAAGCAGCAACGCAGACAACCAAATATCATCTCCACTGCAGCCAGCTGCAGCAGCAGCAACAGCAGCAGCAGCAGCAGCAGCAACAGCAGCAGCAGCAGCAACAGCAGCAGCAGC